ACTAGAATGGCTAAAATTAAAAAGACTGAAAATACATAGTGTTGGAGAAGGTGTGGAGCAACTAAAATTCTTATAATTGCTTGTGTGGAATGCAAAATGTTACAGTCACTTTAGAAAAGTTTGGCAGTTTCTTATAAAAAATTAAACTTAACCTTCCCATATGACCTAGCAATCCCATTCCTAAGTATGAAAATGTATGTCCACAGAAAAATTTGCATTCACAGGTTCACAGCAGTCTTTTAGTAATAGCCAAAGACCAGAAACAAGCTAAATATTTATCAACTGGTGAATGAATAAATAAACTGTGTTGTATCAAATCAACGAATACTACTGAGCAATAAATAGGAACTACAATATCTCCAACAACATGGACAAATCTCAAAAACATCATGCTACAGGAAAGAATGTGAACCAAAACACTACATACATATTTTAAGATGTCATTGATATGAAATCCTAGAAAAGGGAAAACTAGTGACAAAGAGCCAATCACAATGGTTGCTAGAGGTCAGAGGTGGAGAAAAGGAACTGACTGCATAGGAGCATGAGGAACTTTTTGGGGTGATGGAAATGTTCTAGATCATAAATGTGGTGGTAGTTAAACAACTGTATACAACTGTCTGACTCGGAACCATGCATTTGAAATTGGAAATCTTTTTCTCTATAAATTCTACCTAAATAAATGGAAAGACCTGGTTCTATTAAAATCCTACATGGAGTATCAGAGTGTGATTAAAAAAAACAAAAACTATGAGAGGATACTAGAGAATTTCTTAAGTCATTTTGGCAGATTTTTAGGATGTTCTGTAAGTAGAGGCCAAGGAACAATGGTTAATAAAAGGTAGTCCTACAATCATCTATGCAAAAAAATGTACATACATTTATATCTTCCCTCCTCCCAACTATTAATATCACTTCTAAACTACTTTATTTACAGAAGTACTCTTTTTGATGAAGAAGCTATCAAAAAGAAACATTAGGTACACAGTTTCAAAAAGGAAATATGAAAAAGTTCTAGAGATGGATGGTGATATTTACACAACAATGTGAATGTAATTAATGCCATAGGACTGTACACTTAAAAAGGGTTAAAATGGTAAATTTTATGTTATGTATTTTACCACAATAAAAAACGTTTTTAAAAAATTAGAAAAATAATTCTAAGAAAACTTACATAAATCTAGAAATCCACAAGAAAGTTACATTTTAAAACAGTTCCTTTTATTTAAATGATAAAGACTGATCTCTTTCTCTGAACTGTGCACTCACAAAATCAAGCTTAAAAGTGGTTATTGGTAAGCACAGGAAACTGTGCTTACCAACGATTTTAGAGTTTATTTATAATGTTTAGGGCTCTACCAAAGTAGTTTCTGCTTATAACAGTGAATAATTGAGTTATCTACAGTAGACAGGAAAAACATTAGAAGACAAAGATCAGATCAGAGAGCTCAGATCCAAAATGGTTATTTGGTGGCCTAAATACATGTATTTTGTCATCTAAATTAATCTGCAAACAGACCTCAGCACAAATACTAAATACATGCTAATAGAAGCCCTAAAGTAGCTGTGGTCTAAGGTAAATAAGGTCACTCAAGAACTGCCAAAACAAACATCTAATTTCATGCTATTTGGGGAAAAGAGAAAGCCATCTGTGCAATTCATTGTGGATAAACTGCAGTTTGATTGGGGCTAGAGATCTGTCAAGTACAGTCGTTAAGACTGTCGGTACTTATTCTATTAATTGATAAAATCAGAAAATTCCTGGATGTAACACCAAGAGATGGTAGAGATGCAGTAATCTACCTAAGGCTGGCAGGGCATTGTTATTGAAAAACAGCATTAATAGAACCTGGGGAATCATTAAAAAAAAAAAAAAAAAGCTCAAAGGCTGCATGCCTAGAACAAGGAAAGAATGAGTGTGTTTGAAGAAAGTTCTATGCACAATCTGGGGAATGAGTTCTGAGTTAAAGCCTCGACAAATTTTAGGAGGGCAATTTCAATCTCAGAGAATGAATTACTAGTAGCAGTGATGGTAGCAGCAGCAGTTGGTAGCAGTAAACTCTTACACAGTGCTTCCTATTTGCTTGACACAAGTTCTAAGCACTTTAATTGTATTAACTTGTTTAATCCTTACAACAACATTGTGAGGCAGGTGAACCATTTTAGAGAGATGAAGAAATAGGTTCAGGGAGATTTGGTAACTTTCCCATTGTAACCCAGCTGGTAGGTGGCAGAGCCACCTCAGGGTGTCCTGCTTCATTTCCAGAGTTCTTACTCTTAATAATATTATTTTGCTTGTCTTTGGAAAATAACAGTGTTTTCCCGGGAATGAAGAAAGTTAAAAGGAATTGCTGTAATTGTATACTAGACTGGAGAGAAATATTTTTAAAAACTAGTAAGAAATGAAAAGTTTTCAACATTTATTAAATGCCTACCATGTGCCAGGCATTTTACATTTTAGCATAGTAGGCAACTGACTACACCAAAGTAAACAGTTATAGATCCCCAAATTTACCATTAACTTGTATTTTTAATAAAATTTACTAAATGATTTATTTGATTTTAAAAGGCAAAGATATATCACAATAATCAAGTGCAAAAAAAAAATTTGATTACACCTTCACAAGAATTCAATTCAGTTCTTTCAAAACCAAAAAACCCAAACATAGAACATTTATGTACCAGGCATGATGCTAGCTAGGCACAGGCACAGAAGATGAATTTATTAAAAATTAAAGAAAATGGTCTCTTGTTCTCAAAAATCCTAGAATCTACAATAATCCTTTGTACTTATCCCCATTTTACATAGGAAGACACTGCTCAGGGGGATTAAATGATCTGTTTAGGGTCCAAGCTAAATAGCTGAGATAGGATTTGAACTCAAACGTGTCTCACTCTAAAACCTATATACACTTTGACTCTACAGCAAGCTAATAGTGTTTCTGAGTATAGGAACTAGAAAAAATTTTCAACTGACTTCATATAACAAGTACAGGGCACCTGGTCTCTGTTTAATATTTTAGAACTGTTTCATGTTAGTTGAGAACTTGAAAAGGGGAAGTGTGAATTCTAGACTAAATCTTGGGTTACAAACCTCATAAATTGAGCATAGCACAAGTGCATTGCAAGAGTCACTCATGTTGTAAAACAGTTGAATATTTTAAAATACATATTGCAGTAGACTGCAGAAGGGTGTGACTCCACTGGAAAAATGGAGAGGGGTGTTAATTCCAGGAGTTTCCAGTCTTTGGAATTGAAATCCCTCTCTTTTAGATCTTGTAGGCAGGTGGGTATAATAGAAAGTTACCCAGTTAGGGTCCAATAAATAGGAATTGGACCAGAAAGTCCTCTGAGGGCTGCCCCGGTACCTGCTCTGTCAGAAACCCACTTCTATAGTGGGAAAAAATGTACTGATATAACTTTCAGCTGTTTACCTAATAAGGAACAAGATGTTAAAGATACCGTGCTTTACAAAGAGAGGACCCTATTCAGAGTGAGATGTATTGAATTAATCCAGCTGTATACCACTGTATTCAACTTTGGAACGAAAAGTATGCATTTATGACATGGCTTAGGTTTGAGGGTGTATTCTGGACCCACTTGGCCGCCTTAAAACTACTACTAGCTTAGATTTGTTAAATTATGCTTTTCCCAAACTGAATTAACCAGGGATAAATGATTTTGAAAGAAATGTTAAGGGAATGGCTGAGTCTTGAGAAATGAATTCAGAACTGTGTTTTCAACATGGTTAAAAATACCTGAAACTTCATCTCCATCATGTCCTAAAAACATTTAAGAACTCAGTATGTACTCTTAAAAACAGTACAGTATAAAAGGGAGTAAGAATTATCAAATATAAGGCATGTTTAAAAAATACAAAAATGCATAAAAGCATATGTACTTACATGTTCATAAAGATAATGTCAATACATAAAGATTTTTGGGTAATAGAAAAATGGACTCAGAATCAGTTGAAAAATTCTTAAAGCAGAATCAATTAAAGTTAGTTCTCTGCCAAACTTTTCCCAACTACATTTTATAGGCCTTAATCATAAAAGAAGATCTGCTGACATAACAAGGCATAAGAAGTAATTCTCAGAATAATTTGATTAAACTCTTCAAAATTACAGAAATTTACATGTAAAATTATGTTTTGAACTCTAAAATTTGCTGGCTACTTATCTTTTAAAAATTATTATCACTATGTTTTTGCAGTTTAAGATCATTTTATTGAGTGGCAAGAGGTGGCCAGGGCGGGGGAGCAGCTACAGATGTCCTTCCCCACCTCCTACCCCTGTACTATAGGGGAGATTAAATTTTTAATTGTGGTTCAAAACATGTAACAGAAAATTTACCATCTTTAAGTGTAAGTTTAGCAGCGTTAAGTATATTCACCATGGCGCAACAGGTCTCCAGAACTTTTTCATCTTGTAAAACTGACTTGCTACTTCATCTCAAGTGAGCACTAAGACATTTTTAAACAATATGGATCAGCATATCTAGAAAGCAAAATATATTCAAATCAAGGCATACTATGAGGATATAATTTGGACAGAAACTAGGTGACAGTTTGACTCTCTTAAGCAATTGTTTTTTTCAGAGGGAATAAAGTAATTTTGTAAATAGGTTTTTTTTTAATTAAGAGAATCATTTTCCTTAAGGCCAGAGATAACATCTTATTCATGTTTACATCCACCTTAACTATATATTTAATAAACACTGTTGATAGCATCAAAGGAAACTATTTAAACACAAAGTTTCATGATCTAACTCAATTTATTCTTACCTATTCAATAAATTGGTTTTCTAAGAACCACTATCAGGAATACTCTGTTAGCCTATGTTTGTACTATTTTTTAAAAACTTCCTTTAAAAAAATTAGTAACAATTTTTTAAAGGAAATAAAACTTATTAATTCAGGTTTTAAAATTCCAAGTTGACTGGGCTCACATAATAATCAGCTCTCATAAATGGTATATAAAGATAAGCTTTCTACTTACCATGTAGTTACCATAAGCATGATCAAACATTTCCAGTACTTGATTCCTAATTTTAAAAGAGCAGAAATGGGAAAAAGTTAAGTATATTCTATTTATTGTCTTTCAAAAAGTTAATGCTCCTTCATAAACATATACCAATAAAAAACAAAAGAAAAATTTAGTTAGGAAGGAACATAAACAGGGTCAGGACATACACCCATGTTAGTAGACAAGCTTTCATGAATCATGCAGAGATGAGCCAAACTTTTCCTATTCTAGCAATATATGTAAAAGTCATTTTATAATCTTTCCTAAGAAAACTGCTGAATGATACATGCCATGCAGAGAGAAGAAAATCTGATGATGAAAAACAATTACCTCTTAACAAAATTATTTAACATAAATGTCTTGAGAGGGGAAAATATTGAAGAGACCCAAAAGAAATAATTGTTACCATTTATTGCTTATACTATACATTCTACCAAAAGAAAGCGGTTGGTGTGTGTATTGCTATGAAATAACGATACTCTATGAAGCCTCTGCCTTTCCCCTTAAACTGAATAAGATCACTAATGCCTAGTTTAACACATTTCTGTTAATGTTTGTCATATTTCCAAAAGATACACTTTATGATGTACCTTTGGCTCCTTTAAAAAACTGTCAAGGGCTTCTCTGGTGGTGCAGTGGTTGAGAGTCCGCCTGCCGATGCAGGGGACACGGGTTCGTGTCCCGGTCCGGGAAGATCCCACATGCCGCGGAGCGGCTGGGCCCGTGAGCCGTGGCCGCTGAGCCTGCGCGTCCGGAGCCTGTGCTCCGTAACGGAAGAGGCCACGACAGTGAGAGGCCCGCGTACCGCAAAAAATAAATAAATAAATAAATAACTGTCAAAAGTCAAATAAACAATATTCGCCCCTGATATGAGAAAACTAATCCTCGAAAAGAGATCTGTGTATTTTGGCTAACTCTGTTTCTCAAAATCCCCAAAATGACTGTGTAAAATGGAAATTTCTGATCCCCACACCAGATTTACTAAGTCAAAGTCTGCAAGATTGGGACCAAGGAATCAGTCTTTCAATTAAACACTCTCAAACTGGGGGAGTGAGGGTTATAGGAAAAACTACAAAAAATGTTATGGCTAGGCAAGGCCAAGTCTCTCAATAATTAGCAAAAGAAAAATATTTTAATAATCTTTTATTAATTCTTACATTATTCCCAAAGTTCCAATCACTAATGGCAAGAATTGAAGAGAATATTAAAGAAAATGGCTGGATATATTTTTACTTTACCTCCTGTTACACTGCAATTATCATTTTAAAAATTGTAATCATGGATGATGAAATACTGGTAATAATATAGCTAGCAGACAGAAAAGGGCTAATTTCCAGATCCTGGCTATAATAACCAGCAGAATCAAGTACACTCAAACTTGTGAACTGAACAAGCTAAGTCCTGACAACTCTTTATAAATAATAATCATTTAAAAACACCTAATCATTAACAAGGTGATAAGTCACTTTGCCAAAACACTAATTCTTTATATGTTTATATGTATGATAGAATATGGATCAAGTTATCTCAGAAAATTACAGAGTACCTCAAAAACTCCTTCTAGACTTTTTTTTATTATACTGCAGGTGATAAAGAGCTCTCAAATTAGCTAATAAACAAACAAAAAAAAAGGAGCCAAATTTTCCCTTCAAGCACTGATATCAATAAATGGAAAATGGAAATTTTTTTCCTTCCCCTGAAATAGATTAATACAAAATTATTGTCAAGAAGTAAACTTCTGTAACTGGTAATAGTAGTGCCTAGACATGTGTATTACAGGTAACAAGCTTTAACTTGTTAACCCAACTTTGCAAGCATTCAAGCTTCAAGACTATGAATAAATCACGACTGCAAACGACACATTATTTTCCAATCTTTACATTTATGCAGCACATGATCATCAAATTTCACAACAAATACTTCAAAGTGGAAGTATTTAATATCCAGTTGAACTCTCTCACTTTCTTAATTACACATATAAGTCCTAACACTCATTTAAATACAGAATGGTAGAATAATTACTATATTATACAGAGATTTGTTTTCTATAAGGTTTTGTATCTATTCAACAACTGGATAAAAATGTACTGGAAATTAGATCTATAAATCAGCTTTTTCTAAAGTTACATTGCTTGCCAACATGCTACAGAAACTGAACTGTTTTATACTTCATTTTTTAAGTAAAAACATTAACAACTTTTGTAACATTTAAAAAACAAAAAATGAATCAGGAAGTATAAGACTACATATAACCAGGTAAATAATTCCATAAACTATAAACTGCAAGCAACCGAGCAATTGCTTACTATTCATGATAATTTCAGTCTTTATCATCAGTTTAGTTTGGGCGGGGGGCTAGGGAACGGGATAGGCATTTTCTGTTTTTTATCATAAATCATTATTTGGATTTCCAAAAAATAATTGTACAGGTAAACCTAATAAATCATAGTTCCGTTTCCTGAAAATTCCTGGATGAGAAAGCAGTCAAGCAATGTGTATTGTGGTTTATAGCTATAAACTCTTATTCTACTCTTACCCTAGAGTAAGGCAATCTAAATTAACAAGCCTAAATAATTGTAACTTCACTTTCATAAATGATCTCAAAATTTGAGCTGAAATCTCAAGCCAATTTGGTTGAAGCTCTACAGTTAAAATTTTATTTTGGTCAAAAATGAGTTATCCAATGACTTTTCTTCAAACAAAAATTTTTAACAAAAAAAGGAGAAAGGGGAGTCGTGATCAAATAAAAATACTCGCTGTCCTTAACAGACTTGAAGCTTCTCTCTCCAAGTCTTATGGAAGTGTAGCAGAGCGGAGTGAGCACAGGCTCTGAAGTCATACAGACCCGGGTTTGAATACTGGCTCCACCATTTACTTAGCTCTGTAACGTTGAACAAGTCAACCTTGAGTCTCAATTTCCTCATCTGCAAAATGGGGATTGCATCCACCTCATTAAGAAGTAGAGAGGATTACAGAGATACTATATGTAAAGTGCCTGGCACAGAGTAGAGTATTCAGTAAAGCAGTTATCAGTGATACATTAAATTCACAAAGAGAAAATTTAAGACACTTATTAGAGTTTACTGGTAATTTTGTTTTGGTAACTGACACTTTAAATTTTCCAACAAGTGTCTTTTATTGCTATTTTATTTAAAAAGTAATACAAGACTCTTGCAACAATTTAAACAATATGGAGTCTGTATATGTCGATAAAATAAAACCTAATGGTTTTACCTCACCTCCATTGTAACTCCAGGAGGTAGTCATCTTTCCATGTTTTTCTGAGCTTAAACAATTTCTTCTCCGTTTTTTTGTGTGTTTTTTTTAAACATGGGATGGTACTACAGATAGTATTCTACAGCTTACATCTTTTTGGCCTTGGGAGTATATTCTGGGTAGCCTTCCGATGACCTAACTCCTCCTTAATATCTGAATATTATTCCATAATATGGATGATCCAAGGAACAGCTCTGTTCTTTCAAAATGCACATCCTTGTACACCTATCTCTACTTTAATAGTGCTTTTATTTCTGTAGGATAGATTCCCTGAGATGGGATTAATGAATCAAAGAATACATACAATTTAAATTTTAGGAGACTGTCAATAAATTACAGCAATTTACACACCCACCAAGTTTCTTCTCACACCTCAACTATCCAGTCAGTACTCCATCCATGTACTGTGTTTTGTATTTACCAGCCTGATGGCAAAAACCCCAGCTATTTCATTGTTTTAGTCTGCATCTCTCACATTTATGAGGTTGAGTAACTTCATGTTTATTGACCATTTGCATTTCCTCTTGTGTGAATTAACTCTTCACACCCTTTGCCCATTTTCTACTGGTTCTTGGCTTTTTCCTTATTCATTTGTGGGACCTGGTGTGTATTAGGAACACTTACTCTAAATTAAATGCTGTACATATAACTGATGATTTTATGACTTTCAAGACTGATAAAACTACTTTGAGTAAAGTGAATAGGTATATTTAATTGAGGCTTTTGAATACTACCATCAAATATTGTTCTACTATGAAAATGCAGTGCAAAAAACCACTGCAAGAAAATGGTAAAATGTGTAAAGTTCCAATGAACGCCCCCTATTCCGTAACAGGTGTAAACATCATTTCCTTAACTGCTCTGAGATCAGTAACATTTCCCACCTGGGAGCTCACTTGTGCAAGAAATCTAACCAAGTCTCTGATGAAAGGCAACCTCGGAACTATCGCGCTCAGGGAAACGGTCTGTAGCCCCCTTCACGGGCCAGTGACATGGCAGCCGCGTTGACACACCGCGGCTGGCCTTAAGGAGCCTGCACGTGTCACAGACGGCCCGGGCGACACCCCGACAGTCCCGCGAGGTCGCATCGCGGGCGGCGACCCCCACTTTCCCGGACCCTGTCCACCCCGCCAGGGTTCTCTCGAGGCAACAGCCGTCCCAATCGCGACAGGAGAGGCCACTGGGCGCCCGGGTCGCAATGACAGGCACCTCGCCCGTGGTCAGCCTCACGAGGAAACCCACCCCAGGTTTCCAAGCACCCTTACCCAAGCTTCTGTTTCTCCTCCCTACTCATGGGCGAGGCCCCCGCCGTCCACACGGACGTGGCCGACACCAGGCAGAGCGCGGCCGTCGCCGCCACCAGGCTCCATGGCGCTCGCTGGGGGACCGAGTACCCAAAGCCCCGGCCGCCGCCGGCTTCGCTCATGGCCCCGCGGTTCCGCGCACGCGCACGCGCAGCTGCTACGCCCGGCCGGTGGGACCCATTGCCGGACGCCGGTGGCAAAGGAGCTGCGAGCCGTGCCGAGGCCGGGATGCGGAGGAACGCGAGCGGCCGCCGTCGCCGAGCTGCTTCCCGAAGCCACCGAGCCGGTCCCCAGCGCCAGCGCTGCCACCGCCCTCCGCTCTCAGCAGCCCCGAGCACCTCCCCCAGCTTTCCGGTGTCGTAGTCTAGGAAACCACCTCCCCAAACGCTACTTCCGGGTAGGGCCCAAGACGCTGAGCCTCAAGACCAATGGGGGCCGGATCGGAGAGGGGCTGGCCCGGGGGACAGGAGAGGGCATTGGCTGGGAGAAGTGAGACGTGGACAAAAGGCGGGACCGGGGAGGGACCTTTCGCCTCGGCCATCCTCCGACCCGTGAACTTGAGGCCTGAAAACTACCGCTCCCAGCGTGCACTGCTTCCTCCGCGGCTCTCTCGCAATCCGACTCCACCGGGCTAAATTTCCACTCTGGGTGGGCGCGCTGCACCCTGTGACGTGTGGTCCGCCGAGGGGCTCGGGCGGTTCCTGCGATCCCTCCTCCCCCGGCTCCCTGCAGCCAGCCGCCCTACTCCGTGGGCTGCCGAGTGCCGGAGAACCCGTCAGCTCTTTATCCCTCTTCCTACGTATGCGTTTCGCTGAGGGCTGGCAGGATGAGGCTCAGACGGCCTCAGATCAGTGCTGTACGCCTTAGGGAAAAGTAGTCCTATTGGACTTCAGGGAGATTTCACTACTGTAACAGCAAAAATGAATTGGGCCTTTGACGGCAATGTGCTAAGAGTTTTACTTGCATTCTCTCATGCACTCTTCTCAACTCTAATAGGTGAGTACCACCGCCCCCATTTTGCAAACGAGGAAACCGAGGCCAGAGAAGTTAGGTAATGAGCCTCGTCACACTGCTGGGTTAGATTCCAACCAGCCTCTGTGACTTGGAAGCCCTTGCATGTAATCACAAGAGTGAAGGAGGGCACGGGGGGGGCCTCGTACTTGATTAATAATAGTCATCTAGAAAGCTCAATGTAAGGAAGCTAGTGTGAGCTGCAAAGAAAGTTTAATGAAAATTGGAACTTGCAATTAATTTTGATGGCCGAGGCAAAATGAGGAGTAAAATCCTCTTGAAAACCCACACTGTTTTTCTTGTGTAATAATTCAGTAGGAAGGTGCGGAGTTTAGGAGCTTGGTCGTGACCTCTGTGACCACAGAAAATCGCTTACTCTTACCCTCAGTAGCTCAGCTGTTCTTCCTTGATTTCTATCATCTTACATCCTCTGCGTCCCTCTCAGACTGACCATTCAGGTGACACCAATGACTCCTCTGCCTTCATTACCCATCTCTGTCTTAAAATTTTAAGGTTTTTTTCGTCGGTTTTCTCTTTGTACTCTTTGTACCATCATATCCCTGTGGTTGATTTCTAACTCAGTATCTGTCCTGATCTCCAGACCCACATTTCCACCTCCCCAATAGAAATTCCCTTCTGTCTGGCCAAAGGGTAAGCTCAAATATAATAATGTTAACTGACTCAATATGTCAGAATCATCTTCAACTCATCCTCCTCCTTCAGTCTATGTCCAATCACTTGACAATTACATAGATTCTACTTCTGCTATCACAACCTTTCTTTCTACTCCTGCTTCTGCTCAGTTCAAGCCTCCATTACCTCTTTTCTGAACCATCACAATAGCCTCCTAAATTATCTCCTTGGCACCCTAACTTTTCTCTACATTGCTACCAGAGTTGGCATTCAAGGACATCTACAAATCCTCTGAACATGTTATCTCCCTTCTACCCCTGCCCTGCACTCAAGTCCTATGAGAAAACTAACATTCTCATACTATATCCTTTCTATGCCTTTGCTGTTACCATCCCCTCTGCTGTCCCACCATCTTTGTCTGTAGAATACTCACTACTCATTAAGTCTCTGCTCAGATTCCACCTCCACAAAATCCTTCCAAAACCTTCCAGCCATTAGACATCATCCTCCCACTGTATTCTGTGTCCTTATTATTGTGTTTTTCACAGTCAGCCATGTCCACTACATTGTGACTGCATGGAGGGTATTGACTTTACCTTATTTATATGTATGTTCCAAAACTCAGCACTGTGCCTCTCATATTACACGTGCTCAATAAATGTTGGGTATACTTATCTGTTTCCTTATCCCTTCAGTTTCCGATCTATAAAGTGGGAATAATAGTTTTTATCTACTTATATGGAGGCTGTGAAAACACATGAGGTCACTTCTGTACAATATTTCATTTTATCCTTTGTACAGACCTGCAACCGTATGTTGGTTCCATCCTGGATCCTCTTTGGCAGCTTTAATGATGAAGTTAGCTAAGTAAATAATACCTGTGAATTGTTCTTGGCTCTGGCACAAAGAACATGGAAAGCTAAAGGTCAACATGAATCATTCAGAATTTGAAAACTAGGAACAAAGGAAATAGAAGAACAGTCAGCGACCTTCAATTATATTGAAATGTGGTCAATTTTCTTTGCCTTTCTGATGTTCCAATCCTTTATAAGAAGTCAATATTGACCAGTAACTGTCACTGAGAAATAATGTTCTCAAAAAGAAAAAGTACTGGCTTTTAATGTGTAGCATTTTCTGGGATTTTTTTTCCCCTGGCTTATTTGTTTTTAAGCTAACACTGCACTTTAAAGGTGTATAATGATAACACAGAACATATTCTTTGTTGACTTGCTAAATAATAAGCATCTTTTTCTCTCTTACTGAAATTCAATTTCTAGCCAATGGTTGAGTCCATTTTTCACTAATCTCTGCAAAACCATAAGGATAAAAGCTGTGGCCTAAAATGCATTGCAAGTTAACGTATCTAAAGTGGAGCCTGTGAAAGTGAAATAAAAATATATTCACAAAGTGCATTTCAAAAAAGAACCCATTTAAACCCCTTACTGGAAATAATAGAAATTCTTAGCTAACTGGCAATTTGTGAACACCAGGAAAGTTTGACATTCATTATTGCAAAACCTACACACAATATTTTAGAACTTATATACTTAGTGATAAAATGCATATAGGAAACACAACCTTCCGAGACTGAACCAGGAAGAAATAGAAAATATAAGCAGACCGATCACAAGCACTGAAATTGAAACTGTGATTAAAAATCTTCCAACAAACAAAAGCCCAGGACCAGATGGCTTCCCAGGCAAATTCTATCAAACATTTAGAGAAGAGCTAACACCTAACCTTCTCAAACTCCTCCAAAATATAGCAGAGGGAGAGACACTCCCAAACTCATTCTACAAGGCCACCATCACCCTGATACCAAAATCAAAGATGTCACAAAAAAAGAAAACTATAGGCCAATATCTCTGACGAACATAGATGCAAAAATCCTCAACAAAATACTAGCAAACAGAATCCAACAGCACATTAAAAGGATCATACACCATGATCAAGTGGGGTTTATCTCAGGAATGCAAGGATTCGTCAATATATGCAAATCAATCAATGTGATACACCATATTAAAAAATTGAATGGTAAAAACCATACGATCATCTCAATAGATGCAGAAAAAGCTTTTGACAAAATTCAACACCCGTTTATGATAAAAACTCTCCAGAAAGTAGTCATAGAGGGAAACTACCTCAACATTAATAAAGGCCATATGTGACAAACCCATGGCCAACATTGTTCTCAATGGTGAAAAACAAACCATTGCCACTAACATCAGGAACAAGACAAGGTTGCCCACTCTCACCACTATTATTCAACATAGTTTTGGAAGTTTTAGCCACAGCAATCAGAGAAGAAAAAGAAATAAAAGGAGTCCAAATCGGAAAAGAAGAAGTAAAGCTGTCACTGTTTGCAGATGACATGATACTATACATAGAGAATCCTAAAGATGCCACCAGAAAACTACTAGAGCTAATCAATGAATTTGGTAGTATAGCAGGATACAAAATTAATGCACAGAAGTCTCTTGCATCCTATACACTAATAATGAAAAATCTGAAAGTGAAATTAAGGAAACACTCCCACTTACCATTGCAACAAAAAGAAGAAAATACCTAGGAATAAACCTACCTAAGGAGACAAAAGACCTGTATGCAGAAAACTATAAGACACTGATGAAAGAAATTAAAGAAGATACAAACAGATGGAGAGATATACCATGTTCTTGGATTGGAAGAATTGACATTGTGAAAATGACTATACTACCCAAAGCAATCTACAGATTCAAAGCAATCCCTATCAAGCTACCAATGGCATTTTTCACAGAAGTAGAACAAAAAATTTCACAAGTTGTATGGAAACACAAAAGACCCCAAATAGCCAAAACAATCTTGAGAAAGAAAATGGAGCTGGAGGAATCACGCTCCTGGGCTTCAGACTATACTACAAAGCTACAGTAATCAAGACAGTATGGTACTGGCACAAAAACAGAAATATAGATCAATGGAACAGGATAGAAAGGCCAGAGATAAACCCACATACATATGTTCACCTTATCTTTGATAAAGGAGGTAAGAGTATACAATGGAGAAAAGACAGCCTCTTCAGTAAGTGGTGCTGGGAAAACTGGACAGCTAAATGTAAAAGAATGAAATTAGAACACTCCTAACACCATACACAAAAATAAACTCCAGGGGTTTCCCTGGTGGCGCAGTGGTTGAGAGTCCGCCTGCCGATGCAGGGGACACAGGTTCGTGTCCCGGTCCAGGAAGATCCCACATGCCGCGGAGCAGTTGGGCCCGTGAGCCATGGCTGCTGAGGCTGTGTGTCCGGAGCCTGTGCTCCGCAACGGGAGAGGCCACAACAGTGAGAGGCCCACGTACCGCAAACAAACAAACAAAAACTCCGAATGGATTAAAGACCTAAATGTAAAGGCCAGACACTATAAAACTCTAAGAGGAAAACATAGGCAGAACACCCTATGACATAAATCACAGCAAGATCCTTTTTGACCCACCTCCTAGAGAAATAGAAATAAAAATAAATGGGACCTAATGAAACTTAAAAGCTTTTGCACAGCAAAGGAAACCATAAAAAAGACAAACCTCAGAATGAGAGAAAATATTTGCAAATGAAGCAACTGACAAAGGATTAACCTCCAAAATATACAAGCAGCTCATGCAGCTCAATATCAAACCCAATCCAAAAATGGGCAGAAGGCCTAA